GAATAAGAATAGAGGAAGTGAACCCTAACAGATACTGCCTAAAGTGATCAATCCTGATGACAGTTTGCCATAAGCTCTTACTCGGCCAGTAGTGCTCGAGTACAGAGCTTGTATAACGTTTATGTATCTCTCTGGTACATCTTTCAATAACACACTGCCATAGAACCTCACGATCGAGAGTTAAATGCCGCCTTAAGATCGATAAATACCACTATTGTCAGATGTCTGAATGTGCCTATGTTCTAGGACCTGACGTAGTGTGAATATCTGGTCCATGCAGCCACGTCCAGGTCCGAAGCCAGCCTGGTTTTCTCTAGTCTGTTCTGCGCGAGCTCAGTTAGGCGTCGAGGTATAATTGGAGCCAATATCTTAGTCAAACCGATTCCTCTGTGATTGTTGCAGGAGGATTTTTATCCTTTCTTATAGATTGAGGCAATCAGTGATTGAAACCAGTCAGATGGGATTATCTTCAGTTACCAGATTCTACCTAAGATCCCTTTTACCAGGTGGCTCGCTTATTGACTTAGAATATGCCGATGACATAGTCCTACTTGGTGAAGACGCTGACAAAATGCAGAGTCTTCTGACTACCCTAAGCAACAATGCAAGCATGTTCGGGATGCGGTTTTCCCCCTCGAAATGCAAAATGTTGCTTCAAGACTGGGTGTCATCGGCACCTGAACTAGTGATAGGGAGTGAAGTGGTCGAACGTGTAGACCGCTTCACCTATCTTGGGAGTCTCATCAGTGCTGATGGCCTGGTGACTGACGAAATCTCGTCACGGATACAGAAGGCTCGATTGGCTTTTGCCAACCTGCGTCACTTATGGCGTAGGCGAGATATCCGTTTGCTGACTAAAGGACGAGTGTACTGCGCAGTGGTTCGCTCTGTCTTACTTTACGGCTGTGAAACATGGCCAATGAGAGTAGAAGATACTCGACGGTTATTGGTTTTCGATCATAGGTGTCTTCGAAGCATTGCTCGTATATCGTGGGACACCCGAGTGAGCAACGCTGTTATTAGGAAACGGGTACTAGGTAAGAATGGCAGATCAATCGATGAAGTGGTGAAACTTCATCAGTTGAGGTGGTTGGGACATGTCTTGCGTATGCCTAACCACCGACTGCCTCGACGATCTATGTTTTGCAGTGTAGGAGTAGATTGGAAGAAAGCTAGGGGCGGTCAAACCAAAACATGGCATAAATCCATGAAGTCATTGACGAGTGGACTTAGCCATGTCGGTAATTGTCGACTACCTGGTTGGGGTCCGCGAGATGATGATAATCGATGGTTAGAGACCTTGAATGACATGGCTCAAAATCGTTCGCAATGGCGCCAGTGCATTTATTCTTTGTGTTCTCTCAAATCTTAATCTTCTGAGTTCTTCAACACCTCTAGCTTTTACTTTCTAAACTTATCTCATTGAATCATACTTCTTGAATAATATCTTCTAATCCTAACCTCTCCGATTACTTCTAATTTCCTTACTACCTCTTCTACTATTGGATTTGAATTGACAATTATATCTCTGTGCTGATGTGGTATGGCGACATGAACTGATGTACTTACGTACGAAGTTCTACGTTGCAACTGACTGACTGACTCTACCTAAGATCTCACTGCTAAAACTGAATCACCATCCTCAAAAATCTCAGTATTTAATACGTCAGGACCTGCCTTTCTCTCGCTTTGCATTGCCTGTAGGCATTTCAACCTCAATTATAGTCAGAGGACTTCAATCAACTTGCCATTCAGTTTCAGTGGAAATTGTGGGTTACTAAGGTGTGATTGTGCCAGTTGAGCTGCTCCCTAGAGTCTTCTGCGTATCGATCCAATATCCTGGATTGAGAATGGTTAATATGTCCATCTCTTCCCGACAGTCTAGCTAACAGTCTGATTTCCAATACCGGTCTCCTTGATAAGTCTTAATAGTTGTCCACCGTTACCTATTGCTGTTGCCTTTTCCATTTCTCTTGGTTTCGCTACCAACCACCGTTCGCGATCACTGCGTAGGCTTTTCATCAGCCAGCGTTTAAGCTGACTACGCTGCTCATCATGTTCAGAACCAACATCTATCAGTCCGGTAGATGCTGTTGAAATCCTCTGCTCATACCTGACTTTTTAGTTAACCCTACCGCTATTTTTAAAGTTTTCGGATACTATTCCACGGTTCCTGGGGGGGGGGTATAACGTACATTGCTACCTAACTGTTTTTCTAGTTGTTCCTCGGCTGTGCTATTGTTAAGTAAAACTCTGAGTTTCCTTGCTGAGTCTTTCCTACGTCCAGTAAAACACAGGCACATACGAGCTGGTACGAGAGCATGATCTGAATCTAAACATGTGCTCAGGAACGAGCTGCAGTCTTCTATCAAACACCATCGGTGGCTTATAGCAATGTGGTCGAGTTGTGTCGATTTTGCGGGTCGTCATGTCTAAAAATAAGTATTTCCTAGAAACAGGCGGTTATCTGAGCGTGGCTGCAACAGATGGTCTCTATTATCTGTTCGATCGGTCGCGACAATATAAGATCCACTCAGGTGTCTTTCCTTTTCACTTAGTCTATCCACTTGAGCAATAAAGTCACCAGCCATTATCATTATTGTCTAACTTTTTGAAGGAGGTCCGAAAGCTTTCTGTAAAACTCATCTTTCACATCGTCTGAACTGCAGTCAGAGGGAGCGTAGGCAGATACGACGAACAGGCGATGTTGAGTGTCCCCATCTTGACGAGTTCTCACTTTCACGTTTAGTGAGACAGCGCACAAGCGACTATCTACTGGGACCCAGTCTAAGAAAGCTAGTTCCGCACTACAACTCAGTGCAGTACCTACGCCAGTGAGAGTAGTAGTGAGGCTCACAGCTACAAAAAGCTTATGTCGAGGTGGTTCTTTATCTTACGAGGTGACGCCAAATGAATAGTTTGACTCGGATCCTGTATGCGCTTTTCGGAGATGCAGCACACATTGATTGTGCAAGATTCAAAAGTCTTAGCTAAGGAGGCCTGTTGTCTTGATTGGTTGGTACACGGTTCGAATGCTCCAACATGGAGTTTAGACCGGGATTTCAAGAGACCAGAAAAAATATTCAGTTTACTTGAATCATTAGCAATAGCGGCGCGAGGTGATAAAGGAATGTGAGAAGGGTTATTCATGAAGATAAGAAAGTTATTAAGAGGTGTAGGAAGGATTTCATTATGACCAATTTGATGTCGTGTGTTGTTGCGGGCATGAGGGTGGATATCACTTCCCGGCTGCCCGAACCATGGACGGATATTTCTTGAGGAACCTGAAAAGGATTTATGATTGGCGTTTGTTTTAGAGACCTGGGAGTGCAATCGCAGAGCCCAAGGGACAAATGCTTGGAGCCAGTCACATGGCCTTTTTATGAGATTTCAAAGTGTTAGCTCCGCTCTCCAAGTGCCCTTACTGCTGGAGACGGAAATCCATGGGGTGAGGTGTGACATCCTTAGGGTCGACATTTTCTAACCCCTTCCTTCCTTATGAGAAGGCAGCATCGCTGCAGATGCTGGTTGTGCGAGGGAACAACTTATCACTGTCACCCCTCTCGATAGTTAGCAACTCAGATCTTGATTTGCAGCTTTTGATCTTACGGTTCTCCAAACGACCTGCTTGGTATGGTAGGACTTAAAGGAATATATGTTCCAGCCAACATAGCTCGGTTGGGTCATCAAGATAGACAAACTCGACCACCACGTCAAGGTAGCAGTTAGGATGTTGGCACAAACCTAACATCTAAAGCTAGTCTTCGAATAGTTAAATGAATGTTAACGAAGATGTTGAATGTGAGAAACAAGAGTTTAAACCTAATTATTTTTGTCTATCCAGCTGAATGCTAAAGAAAAGCGATCGTTTTATTTCTAAAAGAATTAAATCTTTGAAGAAGATTTTCGAATTTTACATAATCATAGAATTCTCGTCAATTACTGCAGAAAAATGACGACTATATTCGGTTATTCAACAGAAATTCATTGATTATCAAACCAATTGAAAACAGCTACTCATATTTAATTTTAACATGGATGAAATAAATATGAGGTATTATTTATTATTTGGACAATATTCACATTTGCGAATGGAAGCCGCTATACTGTTAAATCCAACAGTTCTATGATCTTGATAAGCTTGTAGACGTAGTTAAAAATACAATTAAATTCTAATCAATAGTGGAAAAATCTTCTTGTTGATATATTAAATCCTACAATACAACAAACACAAGTTACCACTATTATTTAAACTGGTTGATATCTACGAGACCATAGTAGTAACCGGTGGTTAAAGACCTTGAATGACACATGGCTCAAAATAGTTTGCAATGGTGCAGGAGCATTCATTCGTTGTCTGCTAACAAATTATAGTCTTTTGAATTCCTGATCAACTTTATCTTTCTCTTTTTAAATTTATTTCACTGGATTATACTTCTTGAATGATATCTTTGAACCCTAATCTTTCCGATTACTGCTTGTACTGTGGTGCGAGCTACTTATAAGTAGTATATAACGTGAGTGTCAACTTAATGTCTGGCAGCAGAAGACGGGAGAAGATCAAGAAAGGAAGAGTTAGAAAACAATGGAATTTGTACGAAACGCATGAATAGTGACATTGGATTGATGTTTTGCAACAGGAACAGTCCAATTCGATATGATGAACTGTTATTTTGCAAATGAACGATTTACGATATGGTTTTCCGATTTTACTGAGTAACTCTGTAATTTTCGTTAAATACACTCCGATTGCCCCACCTGTGTTCTCCTTCACTACAATACTTCTACTACCTATCTCTACTATTATGGGATTTGAATCCACAATTCGATCCCTCTGTGCTAAGGTAAGGTAGTATGGCAACTTGAACTGATGTACGTATGTACGAGGTTCTACGTTGTAGCTGACTGACTGACTAATTGACTTTTCAATCTAGTTTTAATATCACAAAATGCCTTATAAATTAGATAATTTATACAAAAGTTTTTAGTATTTTGTATCATAAAAAAATAAGTTATACACATATACAAATAAGACATTTAGACAAAATTAATTGAATCAAATCTCTTCTAATTCGTTTCAATAGTTCGATTTGGTGTTGTATTCACACCATTTGAAAGACAATCATTTTCTTTTGTTTCTAAACCGCATGAATTTGTTGAATTATTCGTACTAGTACCATTGTGGTTGGATGGATTATTATCATCAATATTATTATTATGATTATGATTGTCATGTTTAGCTTTGGACATGGTTGATTGACGCAATACACTTCGACGTCTTGTCATAATCATTCCTGAAGAATGATTACTACTACTATTACTACTACTGCTATTGCCATCTTCTTGCGGTATTTTAGATATTGATGAATTCAGCTTCTTTTTCTTTAATACAGGCTGATTTTGAATGTTATTTATCAAGTCATGATGAAACATACAAACAATCTGAAGTAATTAAAATTGAGAAAAAAAGAAAATACAATTGTGTTATTATCAATGATACACTTCAAATAAAAAGGTATGTAAGCTTGGGCATTATTCTACTAATAATGTTTCTTCAAAAATGAGTTTAGTTAAGAAGTTGAGACATCTAGCTTTATTGGCCTGACGAAACAATAGTTCGTACTAAATTGGAAAAGTTTTTTTAAAAATAATACACCCTTTGACTTTATCCTAGAAATGAGTGGTGAGGATTCTTTCTTTTCATACGATGAAGATTCAGAAAGTATATAAATCCATTTTTGGAATATCAGTTACTACTATTCGGAAACTGTGGAACAAAGCAAAACCACATTTTTGGCTTGATCACTGGTAAAACCGACGCTTCGAATAACTGCATTACAGCATCCGCGACGAGTCCTGATATTGGTGATCCCATTGGTGTTCCTTTCGTTTGTTCGTAGATTCTGTTGTTGAATTGGAAAAACGTTTTGGGCATATATCGATGCGTCCTAGGACACATGCTCCTAGATATAACCTTATCCTCGTCTGAATTTTCAGGAGCAGACCTTCTACCAGGTGGCTCGCTTATTGACTTATAATATGATGATGACATAGTTCTATTCGGTGAAGACGCCGACAAAATGCGGTTTTCCCCCTCGAAATGCAAAATGTTGCTTCAAGACTGGGTTGCATCGGCACCTGAACTAGTGATAGGGAGTGAAGTAGTCGAGCGTGTAGACCGCTTCACTTATCTTGGGAGTCTCATCAGTGCCGATGACCTGGTGATTGACGAAATCTCAGCACGGATACAGAAGGCTCGATTGGCTTTTGACAACCTGCGTCACTTATAGCGTAGACGTGATATCCGTTTGCTGACTAAAGGACGAGTGTACTGTGCAGCAGTTCGCTCCGTCTTACTTTATGGCTGTGAAACATGGCCAGTTAGAGTAGAAGATATTCGTAGGTTACTGGTTTTCGATCATAGGTGTCTTCAAAGCATTGCTCGTATATCGTGGGAAAACCGAGTAAGCAATGCTGTCGTTAGGAAACGGGTGCTAGGTAAGGATGGCCGATCAATAGATGAAGTGGTGAAACTTCATCAGTTGAGGTGGTTGGGACATGTGTTGCGTATGCCTAACCACCGACTGCCTCGACGAGCTATATTTTGCTGTGTAGGAATAGGTTGGACGAAAGCTAGGGGAGGCGAGACCAAAACATGGCACAAATCCATGAAGTCATTGACAAGTGGACTGAGTCATGTTGGTGGATGTAGACTACCTGGTTGGGATCCGCGAGATGATAATAATCGATGGTTAGAGACCCTGAATGACATGGCTCAAAATCGTTTGCAATGGCGCCGGTGTACTCATTCTTTGTGTTCTCTTAAATCCTAAACTTTTTAATTCTTCATCACTAGATTCTACTTCTTGAATAATATCTTCTAATCCTAACCTCTCCGACTGCTGTTAATACTTTTACTGCCTCTACTAGTGTGCTAACGTGGTATGGCCAAATGAACTGATGTACGTACGTACGAAGTTCTATGTTTTTAATGATTGATTGATTGACTCTGAAGTTTCGTATATTTTTGGAGATTTTTGTCGTTGGTGAGGAGCAGGGATAGAGTTTTTTTAGCTAAGCTTGGCTCTATTAAGGTAAATAAGGCTGTTGCACTGAAGGATATCATCATTTCGTCGTTGTCGATTTGAACCCCCTTGAGTTTATCCAAGAATTGGATGGGAGGCTTAGTGGAGTAATTGGATGAATCTACCAGGTGGTTCACTATTGATACACTTGGTAGATTCATCCAACTACTTCATTAACTGTAGAACATACGAAGTACTACGTCTAAATGCGGTTCTTTTATGCTTTTGATTACAAACGACAAGAATCGCTTACCGAGACTAGTAAACTTGAAGAAGATGAGGATATCCATAACCTTCGAGACTTTTAATAATTGAGTCTTAATTAAAAACTTCATTAGAACAAAACTCTTAAGTTTAACAGAATTTATAAGATTTTATCAAAGAAATAAACTTACTCGAGCAAGCAAAGCATTGAGATTTCTATTTTCTACAGAATTAGCATTATTATTATTATTGTTTGACTGTTTACTATTACGTTTTGGTAGAACCGGTGGCAGTACAACAATACTACCTTCAACATGAGCCAAACAAAATGAAGATGGACAGATGGAACAGAAAATATAAGAAGGACGACCGCATGCATCACAATGATGCCATGGACAAAACCATTGACCTGTATATATAAGAATAATAATCAATAAGCGATTCAGTCAAATATTTGTTTTGAGGCACAGTTTTTTGGAGGTTTGCGTTTTTACACATTTGAAATCATTAATCAATCATCATTGTTAGACCACCATTAGAAGAAACCTGGAAGCACTGAAGGACGACCGTTTCGTCCTAGTATGGGACTCCTCAGCAGTGCGCATCCACGACTCCTGCCCCCCGCAGGATTCGAACCCGGGACCTTTGGCATTGTAGGCGAATGCCTTACCATCGGACCACTAGGCCGGCATCCAAAGGTGTTAACGCCTAACTCTGATTGATCTAGGGATTTTGCGCGACCTCACCCATTCGTCTTCGGGTAGTTACTGCCTACACTCGACAGGGTTGAACTCCACTGGTCACGTCTTCTTTGTTTGCTGCTTAGAAAGAAAGAATAGAGAATAACATTCATCTCACTTACCTTGAGGTGGTGTATCCAAATCAAGACAGAATAAATGATACACTTTTGAACAATCATGTTTACTGCATAAAATTAAATCAGATGGTTTATGTGATTTTTGATTGTCAATAATTGTTGACATAGTAGTAGTAGTAGTAGCAGTAGTAGTATTCATTGAAACTAATGACTGTGTTTCATTTCGATTGGCCATTAATGTAGGCGAACTGAGTCCATGTTGATTTTTACTTGGTGAATGATTTACAACTGATGCTACTAAATCTTCTAGTTCACGTTTTAATCCACGTTTATTTAAAGATTTATTCGATGAGGATGGTAAGACAGTAGTACTAGTTGTATTGGTATGTGAAGAATTTGTTACAGCTAATGTTTCATTGGATAATAGTAATGATTGCTTTCCAATAGGTGCATCTTTCTCACCACATCTACAAAGAAATTGCATTGGAAAATAAATTCTAACCAACGACTAGACGACAAGTGAATAATAATCAAAAACAATTATTACTGTTGACTAAAAAAAAATAATATTCATACACATCGAGAACATTTCATCAAAGTTTATCATCAATGAATTTAATTGAAGTGAAATATGAAAAACAGTAAAGTATAATTTTCAATTAGAGTTATGGAGATTAGTGTTTCTACACATTTGAAATCATCAATCAGTCAATCATTGTTAGACCACCACTAGAAACCTGGAAGCACTGAAAGACGGCCGTTTTGTCCTGGAATGGGACTCGAGACCTTCGGCATTGTGCGCGAACGCCCAACCATTGAACTACTAGGCCGGCATCCAACGGTGTTAATGTCTAACTCTGATTAATCTAGGGATTTTGCGCAACCTTACCCATTTGTCTTCGGGTAGTTATTGCCTACACCCGACAGGGCTGAACTCCACTGGTCACGTCTTCTCAACTAGAACTCCGAGAATTTCCTCACGAAGCTAGTCACTAGTGAGCACATTTTACGATATTTTCAATTAGAGTTATGGAGATTAGTGTTTTTACACATTTGAAATTATCAATCAATTATTGTTAGTAACCCTTGAAGGGTTCCAACGTTATTTAACTGCCACGAAAATAAATAAGAAAAATAAAGTTTTAATCAACGAATACTAGTTTTCAAATTTTGTTTACAGATTTTTGGAAAATTGACATTCGGCGTAAATGATGTTTTTGAAGATGACAATATTTTCGTAAATTATTACAAGACCAAATACACTGATTAATCAAAATTTTAATCAGTCAACGATGTTGGATTGGCAAAGAAGAGACTAGAAGTTTCTCTTGTAAATTCCAAGCAAACTTCTGTTTTATTGTTATTCTAGCTATTTTGTTTGGAACATAATACGTGGTGTTCATTTACGTCAAAATCAGTGAATATCAGTGGTCAGTGTTTTAAAACCAGGAAGAATGTCGTAGTTCCGAGAGAAAATTCTTATTTTTATACTCTTATTGTTAAATTAAATTGTCAGTCAGATGCAACTTAGAACTTCGTACGTAAGTACATCAGTTCATGTTGCCATACCACATCAGCACAGAGATATAATTGTCAATTCAAATTCAATAGTAGTAGACGTAGTAAGGGAATTAGAAGTAATCGGAGAGGTTAAGGTTAGAAGATACTATTCAAGAAGTATGATTCAGTGAGAAAAGTTTAGAAAGTCAAAACTACAGGTGTTGAAGAATCCAGAAGATTAGGATTTTAGAGAACACAAAGAATAAATGCACCGGCGCCATTGCGAACGATTTTGAGCCATGTCATTCAAGGTCTCTAACCATCGATCATTATCATCTCGCGGACCCCAACCAGGTAGTCGACAATTACCGACATGACTCAGTCCACTAGTCAATGACTTCATGGATTTCTGCCATGTTTTGATTTGGCCGCCCCTAACTTCCTTCCAACCTACTCCTACACTACAAAACAAAGTTCGTCGAGGCAGTCGGTGGTTAGGCATACGTAACACATGTCCCAACCACCTCAACTGG